AACGTTTCACGTTTTCTCTCAGCTCTGCTTCTTTGTTCCCCGCTTCCACTTCCCTCCTTGGCAGCAGGTGCTCCCTTTCCTGAAACTCGCCAACTTCTCCTGGCAAGCCCTGAGTGGATGGCAGTGGTTCAAAGTTTTCTGGAAGCTGACCAGAGTCCAGCTGCTCTGTGGTGCAACCAGCGGCGCTAGCTCCAGCGTCTGACAAACCAGCAGCTGCCTCTTCAATGTCATAAGAAAACCTTCTTTCCAGCGAGGGCGTAGGTAAAATCGTCATGTCCACTGCGCCAGCCACAGCCGTCCCCACCAGGGTCCCAACAGCCATCTCTGGCGTGCGACCAAGACCAGCCTGCAGCTCATACTGCTGCTTGGCATCTGCCCCTGCATTTGGCCCCTCGTGCCATCCGTCATCATGGTCGCAAACCCTGCAGGTTTCTGCGTCCTCCTTAGAAGGTTTGAACCTCTGGCAGCCACAGAGATGGCTGCCATCTCTGGCGCGGAAGCACTTGCCATACATTTTCAGAGCAGGTGTCACAACAGGCCTGGAGTGCCTTCTCCTTTGCTACCAGTGGTTGTACGTGCAGCTCTTTTGATGTCAGGATGCTGTTTTGACAAAAGTGTGCTGCATCTTTCACTGTTTCAGCTGCATCTCACTGATTCTCAGCTGAAGACTGCAGTGCCGATCAGAGAGAGCAATGCCGAGATCCTGCATGGCATCGACTTTTTTGCCGCCAGTGAATGCACCAATCAAATGCAGGCCTGAAGCTGTCACATGGACCGCATGGCAAAGATACCACCCCATGATTATCCGGCCATGACTCGAAGGCCGAGTCGAGGTCTTGCAAAATTGCATCGTGGCGGGAGGTGCTCACTAGCTGGTAGTCGTAACTTAGGGTGTCGTTCCACGAGCGGTGGAAGTAAAAATATAAATTCCCTGATTGGCTCAGATTGTTTCTGCCGTCGGTCAACGGGCGGACTTCCGGGCAAATAAATGCCACGTCGGCGGCACAACTTGTATTAGAACTCGACCCGAGTATTTGTAGGGTCGAACAAAAATATTTTTCTGTGCCGGGACGTGGCACCCAATCAGCGAATGAGACGACGCCATGTCGGATTCTGCAGTAAGTGCGCATTTTTTTTATGCAACTTCCACCGGCGAGCTATTCCACGAACGGCCGGAAATTGGTAATATATTGAACTTCCAGGCAAATTCCGGCCTCTTCAGAGCCACATCTTTTATTTATTTTCCTGACTTCCACCACCGCTCGTGGAACGACACCCTTATTTGTGCGCAGTATTTAGCTTTTTAGGACGCTTGCAAGAGCAGGCACAGGAGAGCATGCACTGTGAGTCACCCTGTTAATCACAGAATGGAGATATGCGTAAAAACGCTGACGGGGAGATCTGCGAGGGTGGTGGCAAGAGATGGGGACACAGTGAAGGTGGTCAAGTCCAAAGCGGAAGCTGCGATTGGCACAGCTTTGGGCATGCAGCACCGACTCTATCACAGGGTATGCATGCCAAAACTCTTTTATGCTTTATGAGAATCTCTTAAAGACTTCTTCTGAGAGGTGGGTGGATGTTAAAAAACCGCAAAGAGCGGCTCGAGTGGCTGGTGAACAAAAGTGTGTGGGAAAGAATGCTGTGCTTAGAAGGTCGACTGCCTGACGCCAGGCATATAGTTCTTGCTCTTCTTAAGCTTGGCAGCGAGCACTTCTGATGTGGCACCCAAGAAAACGTATGACTGCACAATCTATGCGTCTTTTTCATGGCCAACGTGTGACCTTAAACAAACCGTTGATCTTTTCTTGCTTGGAAGTCTTTTCTTCATATACCACCACTTCATCAGAGTTCCTTCATTGTTTTTCCCCTGGCATTCAGTTGGATCCCTCTTACTCGCTCTCAGAGTTAGTCATCAAACCAAAAGACTCTGTGTACGGTTCAGTCGCAAACAGGTCTGAAACCCTCGCTTCTGCTGCTTTTTTCCAAGAACCGATTCAAAGAAGTTTGTCTCATGCAGGGTGCTGCTGTGAAGGACAGCCTCCCCATCTCCTCGTTAAACCTTGCTAACGGAGAGTTCCTGACCCTGATAGGCCTTGTGTCTCGCAAGAATCTCATCAACGTTGCTCAGCCCGCACACACAACAGTCCCAGGCTCCAGTGGCCTGACTGGCCCTGAGGAGACGTCTCATTCAGAACCAGCTCTCGGCACAGCTTCTCAAAGAGGGGCTCCTTTTGGGCCTCTGCAAACAGGAGTGTCAAAACCACCGGTTATTCAGCAAAGCGCGACTCCCAGCATTCCCTCCGCTCCTGCTGGCCAATCAGCTGGCGCCCCTCCTGGCAGTGCGGCAAACGCAGAACCTCAGCCGTCGGGTTTCCGGTCAGTGGACGTTGAAGTCATTGAGGCTTCCCCTGATGTAGATGTTGTCAGAGGAGGGCAGACAGTTGGTCCTCTCAGGAGCACTGTTGAGCCGCCTCACAAAGGCGCAACAGATATTCAAGGGGGACATATAGGAGGGATTCTGAATAGGAGGTCTGAAGAAGCAACGCCAGGCTCAGCGTCCCAAATAATCGAGCTAGAAGAAGGGGAGCGGAACCGCTTTGCAGAAGGGGGCAAGAACATGCATCCGGGCATACCGATAAATGTTGCTATCCTTTCTGAGCAACAGCCTGGCACTTCAAGGGCACAAGGGGGTGGTACTGAGCTGGGAGATAAGCCCCCTGCTGAGCTGAGGGCCGTGCAAATAGAGGGCAGCCAGGCAGGGGCTACAAGACAGCCTGCTAGGAAGAAGCTGGTCGATAGCATCAATGCACTGAGTCAAAAGAAACTTCCCGAAGGGGCCAGGAAAAAGCTGGACGAAGGGGCGCTTGATTGGGCGGAGACCGGGGTTTCTGAGCCCTCCGATGGTGAAGGTACGGCCAGGATTATGCGGCAGGGAGCCGACGGTGGAGGAACGGATTGTTGGCAAGAGCCTGGCGAAGAGGAAACCGAAGGAGTGCAGTCGATGTATGGAAGGGAGCAGGCGCGAGTCAGGGCGAAGAGGGACGGGAGGCGAGGACCGGGGGAGATGCCCGGGTCAATTGTGGGGGGGTTGCTGGAAGCGGCTGCCGCGATACAGTCTGGAAAACGGGGGAGTTCTGAGGGGCCAGAGAGGGGGGTGGGACTGGAGGGGTCACCGCGGGGGAGGCGAAGGAGAGGAGTTGGTAGAGATGGTCGGAAGAGGGGGGTGTCTAGGGACGGTGAGGGTGGCGAACACGTGGGGGGCCAGTTGAGGAGGAGACGGGTGGAGGAGTGGTCTGATGACGATGATGACGTGGCAGAGGTGACGGAGGAAGGCGAGAGTGTCGAAAAGGAGGGGGAGGAAAATGCTGCGGGCCGAGGGGGTAGGAGGAGATCCACACAGCCATCAGATAGACGTGGTCACGACGGAGAAATTGATGCTGAGGAGGGTGACAAATCAGAGCGCGACGGGGGTGGAGAACGGGAGTCGCCAGGTGCGGAGGATGGGAATGGAGGTAGCCCGGTTGAGAAACGGGGTAGGCGTGCGGTGGGGAGGCGTGAAAGGGATGCGGTTGGAGAGACGGAGTCTGGAAACAGGAGAAAGCGGCTGAGAAAAGTGGGGCGGAAGAGCGTGCCTGATCGGCAAGCCAATGGAGAGGTTTCGGGAGCGGCAACTGCAGATGGTCAGAGCGAAGAAGGAGGCACACAGGAAAAGCCCAGTGAAGGACTGCGGGGTGCGGAAGACAAGCCTGGGGATGCGAACGAGGGGTTGGATCCTGCATTGAAGGAGCCGTCGAGGGCCAGAAAGCGGCGGAAGCTGGGGGTCAGTTTCCAGGACGGGAGCGTGGTCCTCGACATCCGGACCAACTCTGGCGATGCCGCCCTTGCTGACGTCAGCATCGGGGACGAAGAGGTCAGCGCCCGGCCTGACGACGAGAACGGTGACGGCAGCACGCGGCGGCGGCCCCCGCGAAAGCGGAAAGGCCCCGTCGTGGACCTGTCTGACGAGGACCAGGGCGAGGGGCAGGCTGCAGAGAAGCCGCGAGCGGCAAAACGGGGCCCTTCAACTTCGGGGGGAAAGAAGGCTCAGGCGTTCGACCATCTGGCGCTCCCCCCCGAACTGGCGCGAGTTGAGCGCGTGTTCAACGCGCTTAACGTGGTGTACAGCTTCCTGCAGCGGCAGCACGTGCAGTCCACGTGGCAGAACGTGAGGCGCGCGATGCGTCAGACTCTGAAGGACGAGGGCGCTATGTTGACGTCAGCGGACGTGGAGAGTCTGCAGGCGCTGTGCCCGCAGGTCGTGCTGCTGCGGAACTTCGTCGGGTTCAGGCCCCAGCGGGGCTTGACACCAGGGGAGACTAGCACGGCTGGAGCTGGCACTGAGACGGGGGTTGGTGTCAATCGTGGCGGGATGGAAGAATCTCACCGAGATAAGCCGGAAGAGGAGAACGTTGTGAAGTTGGAAACGGATGAGGATGACATGGACGAGATGTGGGTTGCTGGTGCGACAAGCGAAGCAGGAAAAGCGGAGGATCCGGATGGGGACTACTCGTTCACAATTGATATTGTGGACCCCTTGCGAGGGCCGGGAAGCTTGCAGCGGGTTCCGGTCATCTCGCCGGACGATGGTATGTCGTCAACTTCTTTATCTCGCGTAACTTTTTATCTCAGCGTCTTGCATCTAGTCTGCTAGTTCCCGAAACGTCGGTATTTCAAAGCTCTCTGGTTTACAAAGTTGAGTCCCACGAGTTGTGTCTTCTGGGGTCGCTCGAGGACTTTAGTCAGAAGACGCTAAACCTCTCAAGCTTCCTGGTCGAGCCCTGCTCCCTGAGTTAGTTTTAGGACTTCAGTTCCTCTCTCTACCAGCTGCACCTAAACAATTGCTGTAGGTTCACTTTTCCATAAAAGTTCCTAAATCCGACAGCGGCCCGCCCTGTCGCCATCACCTTTGAACAAGAAGCGTTCCCAAGCGCCAGAATACTGGATGGAGAGTCTGTGCAGTTAGGCGCCGCTTAGGACTCTGCTTCGGTCGCAAGCCCCGACTTTTACCTGGAATTAGTAGGCCCCAGGCCCCCTCCACGAGTGAAACCTGGTAGACCCTTTCCTCGACTCCTACAGCTTTTGGCAGTCTCAAAGATTGTTTTCTTTCTCCATAACAGGCACCGACTTTGTTTCGGGCGGCTTCAAGCCAGTCCCCCAGCTGCGAAAGCAGTCGGACAAGGAGGTCACCAACTTGATAGAGCGCCGCCGCCGCGCGTTCAAATCCCGCATCGTCGAGTTAGTCGGCCGGTTACACCAAACCTGGGCCGCTGACCAGCCTGACGCTTCCGATGAGGAAGATTCGCCCGCCGGCTTCGACCCCTGGAAAAAGGGCACGTGGCACCCGGACTTCCCGCTCGCTGACGTGGCCCTGCCGGAGCTGCTCGAGGCGGCAAAGCAGGTAGACGCTGACGTCAGCAAGGCTCCCTCTGACGCCCGCAAGCGGCGGGGCTTAGGGTTCCGGCGTGGTTACGTCCCAATCATTTCGAATCTGGAGCAGACGGAACGCGGTGATCCTGACGTGGCCGTTTTGTTGGAGGACCTTAGCCGGGTGTACGGAATCAATCTAGGGGGCCGCACCGCGGGCTCGCCTGACCCCCCCGGTCCGGACTCACCGCCTGAGGGGGGTGAAAGTGGCGGGGAGGAGATCCCCAAGGACATTCCGCGCCCGCCGAAGCAGCTGAAGAAAGTGCCCCGGTGCGAGAGCACGCAGAACTTCGATTCGGTGGAGATGTTGGAGCATCTGAAGGGGGGGCTCGGGAGTCTGGGACAGGTGGTTCACACCGAAATGATCACGGTCAGGCAGCCGCAGTTCCTGGCGCCTTCGGTGCAGTTCTCGGAGGGGGTGCGGAAGGTGCTGGAGACGAAAGGGCTCATAGCGGGCCAGCTGTTTACGCATCAGGTATGGTTGTTCCAATAGAATGAGCCTTTTCGCGCTTGTACTGGCTGAATGGAAGACTGCTTGCCTGGAAAAGACGTTCAACCCAACTTCTCCGCCCTTGCACTAGCTGTTGGCGGACTGCTTGCCTTGGAACAATCAACCAACCTCTTCGAGCTTGAACTGTTGATAGAACGTATCTTGTTGACAAAGGGATTGAACCGAGTTGTCTGGTTACACTAGTATGAATGTCGGGTTCACATTCTACACTTGCAAGACAGAGTGGTAACACGCCGTACCCATTTGTACAGCAGGCATCTCTTCTGTCGTCTCTGACGTCACTTTCCCCATCCCTGGTCTCGATTCTGACGTTACTGTCTCCATAATCAGGCCAGGGCAATCAACGCTGCAATCAACGGGCGCCACGTCGTCGTCGCCACATCGACCGCGAGCGGCAAGTCGCTCTGCTACAACCTACCGGTTCTCGAAGCGGTTCTGGCGGGCCACCAAGCTTCCGCCGGCGTTGAGAATCAATACCCCGAGTTTGAGACTCAGGCTTCCGGCCCCGCCTGCGCGCTGTACTTGTTCCCGACGAAGGCGCTCGCGCAGGATCAGATGCGCGCGCTGGGGGAGCTCACGGCGACACTTGAGATGCGGCCTAGAGTGAGTGTTTGGACTGGCTTGTCATATCCTGCTTGCGGAGAGGTTGCAATTGAGAGCAGCTAGATACTGCATTTTCGGTCAAACCTGGCCGCCTGACCCGAGTCCGACCTGTTCTGAGCGCAGAATTTTGCCTGATGCGCTGAACTTGGGCCGTTGGATAGATGGCCTCTAGGTCACCGAAAAGCCCAGGTTCTGCGCTTCTGGCAAAGTTCTGCGATCGGTTCGGTTCGGCAGGTTTGACCGAAGCTGCAGTATGGACAGAAGGTCGTTTCCTGCGGCCGTTGATACTTGGAACGTGCATGTCTCCAGAAGAACGTCCACTTACGTTGTTAAAGTTAGGCGTACCTTGCATGCCATTGCCTGCCGAAGCCCGACCGATTGTGAAGGTGCCATTTGTGTTCTTTTCTGAGCCCACTGCCAACTGCCTCAGAACTATTTGAAGGTTTGACTGAAAGGAGACGCTAGAAAGTCCAACCCGCCGCTCCTGCAGGACAAAAAAGTGTTGACTTTGCGCCAATAAAAGCTTACGGTCGGTCTCGTTTTGCGTGATTGGAAAGAACATGAGACGATTCTGTCACTATACGCAGCATGTCAAGTTGTGTCTTTTTTTCCGCCAGGTGTGCGTATATGATGGCGACACCCCGTTCGGCGAGCGTCCGGAGATGCGCGAGAACGCGGACGTCCTGATCACCAACCCGGACATGCTCCACGTGGCCATGCTGCCAGCGCACAAGCAGTTCCGGCGGATACTCACGAACCTCAGGTGAGGACACGTGGCCTCCAGGCGTCGTCTCTGGTTTTGACGGAAAACAACACTTTCAATGGAGAGGCATTGAACGCGGTTCCGGGCCATCTCGAAACCACGATAGCCTGCATGCTCTTTTGCACCTTGCAACTTTGAGCTTTGTCAAGTCGAGCCCGTCTGCGTGGCCCTGTTGAAAGTAATGTTTTTGTGTGCTTTTCGTAGGGGTGAGATCGTGATGCTTTCTGACTGCACGAGGTGCTTGTACTGATTCACAAAGACTCACCTTTGTAGAAAGCCGACGTTCTCTAGAGGGCAGAAGTTTCTGTTGAAGGACGGCAACCTCGTAACAAAGAAGAATCGAAGCGATCCAAATGTTTGAGGCATCTTTCAAGTGCGCATAACGTATGGTCAGTCCCACAGACACGTACTGGTAGACGAGGCGCCCACTTATGGTGGCGTCACACGTCGCCTGTCACCCGTTCCTCCTCTTGCTACTCGTGTTCCCGGGCCGAGAGCTTCAGATGCTGATAAGCGATGGATGCTCCTGCAGATACGTCGTGGTCGACGAAGCGCACGCTTATGGGCGTCTTCGGCTGTCATACGGCGCACACCTTGCGGCGCCTCCTTTTTTCGATTCTGTGATAAGAGCATAACCTGCTGATACGATATGGTTGCCTCTGCAGATACGTAGTGGTCGACGAGGCGCACGCTTATGGGGGCGTCTTCGGCTGTCATACGGCGCTCATCTTGCGACGCCTTTATCTGCTTATTCTTGCAAAAAGAGCTCATCCCGCTTATAAGCTATGGTTGCTGCTGCAGATACGTGGTGGTGGACGAGGCGCACGCTTATGGGGGCGTCTTCGGTTGTCACACGGCGCTCATCTTGCGGCGCCTCCGCCGGGTGTGCGCCCAGGTGTATGGTTCCCACCCCACCTTCGTCGTCTGCAGTGCCACCGTGGCGAATCCCAAGGAGCACGCGCAGGCAAGTGGTCGCCGGAAGACTGGATAATAGTTGCACTTGTCTCTGTCTAACCGGGCTCCGGGAAAGGTTTGAGATTGATTACATGGTCTGTTATTTACATTGGCAGCTCTTGGAAAAGAAGTATTCGTGTTTGGGACGCTTGGTGATGCATAGAAGCCTCTTCCGCCCTCCTCGTTTGACCAACTTCATTTTTTGTGAAACCGAATATCTACCTGCCACGCACCCCCCGGACACTTTGGTCCAGGTTGTGGTACTCTGAGATGGTGACAAAGCAGAAGTGACTTTGGTTGTCAAGAATATTCCTTCTGAGAAGGCTTCAAAGTCCTTCTCAAAACGACCCCCGGAAAGTAACTCCCGACTGTCTCTTACAGGAGCTGATAGGCATCAACGACTTGCAGGTGGTCACCGAAGGTGGTAGGTATGCCCCTAAGGCTTCCTCCGGGGGGGCTCAAACTTCTGCAGAATCTGACCCCCTAAAACAAACTTCCGCAGGAGCTGATCGGCATCGACGACTGGGAGGTGGTGACCGAGGACGGCAGCCCCCGGGGGGAGAAGATGTTCGTCATGTGGAACCCCCCGCTGACGTCATCCCCCGCGGGCAAGGGCAAGGGCAAGATCAAGGAGTACGTCGCGCTCGTAAGGCAGGGCCGGGTGATGCCCGTCGCGGAGCAGTCGTATGCGGAGCGGATGAAGAAGAAGTGAGCGCGGTTGGCGAATCTGGAGCTTTGGCGTGTTGCATGATGGGATTCTCTGACGTTGAAACCGCATAGCTTGCCTGAATGGTGAGCGAAAGAACAATCAAGTTGCTTACAGGATTCAGCGGTAGTCGGAGGGCAAGAAATTTGAACGCACGCCGTGCTGAGTCTGTCAGGTTGTTCGTTTCGGAAAAGCTTTCTTGGCATGATGCTTCATGGTAATTGATTCTACGCTGAGGACACTGTTTGACGTAACTTGAATTGAGTCGTGTCATTGCTCTCCTCCACATCATTCATTGCAAGGAAATGTTCAACTTGCCTCCGAGCCTAATCCTGTTAGCAAGCCCACCCTTTCGTCGTTGGTAAGGTCCTCAGGAAACATTGTTCACTCCTCCTTATTCAGCACCATATAAATCTGTCAACTCTATGCAGGGCCATCGAGGAAGGCACCAACGAGAACGAGTTCCGCCGCTCGAGCCCGATCGTGGAGGTCGCCCTTTTGCTGGCGGAGTTCATCCAACACGGACTGCGCTGCCTCGCGTTCTGCAAGACGCGCAAGCTGTGCGAGCTCGTGCTGACGTATACCCGGGAGACGCTCAAAGTGACGGCGCCGCACCTTATACATACCCTCAAGTCGTATCGGGCGGGCTATACGCCGGCGGACCGGCGGCAGATCGAGGCGGACCTGTTTGCGGGGAGGCTGAGGGGGGTGAGTGGATAAATATCCGGCTTGTTTGAGGAACCAACTGGGAAGATGGATGATTAGCCATTGACAACGTCATAGACTGAGCAAAAGGTCACAGGACTGGGTGAAACTCTGTGTTCGCAAGTTTGCGCTACCAGCGCCCTCCACTTTGGCACCTGAACGGCAGGGACGCTTTCAGACATCCTCCTTCTTTGTGCGCTTCTGACCTTGTCATAAATGCTGTCTCGTTCCTTCTGGACCTGCCTGTCCTTTGCGCCACCAACGCCGTCACTTAGGCGGCGACGTGGGCAATCCGGCGCTTTTGAACATCTTGTCCTCTTTCGGACTCTCTCATTCCCTTTCGGACCCTTCTGTCCGCAGGTTTGCGCCACCAACGCTCTCGATCTGGGCTTCGCCGTGAGCAGTTTGTACGCTCGGACATCTGCCCTCTTTCGGACGCTATTACCCTTGTCCTTAACGTTAACTTAGCCTTGTTATACCCCTTTTGTCCGCAGGTTTGCGCCACCAACGCCCTCGAGTTAGGCGTCGACGTGGGCAGTTTCGACGCTCGGACACCTGTCCTGTTTCGGACAATATCACCCTTGTCATGAACGCTAACCTAACCTTTTCAATCCCTTTTCTCCGCAGGTTTGCGAACACGAGAAGCATCCAAGAGGAAGATCTTGCAAGACACCTCCAGGCCGGGATATAGCTTGCGTGCATTCTAGCGCCATGATATTCCCCTTTCGGACACTCATTCATATTCTTTGTCGAAGTTATTGTCCGCAGGTCTGCGCCACTAACGCCCTCGAGTTGGGCGTTGACGTGGGCAGTTTGGACGCGACCCTCCACCTTGGTTACCCGGGCAGTCAGGCCAGCCTGTGGCAGCAGTCGGGGCGGGCCGGGAGACGAATTTCTGACCGGGGCTCGCTGAGCGTCTACGTGGCCTTCGGAGGGCCGTTGGATCAGTACTTTATGCGCGACCCGCAGCGGCTCTTTGGGCGGCCCATTGAAAACGCGCAGGTACGAAGCGGTTGAGTCCATCCTTTTGGTACAATAAGTGTTGTGTTTTAAAAGCCCACGAGCTGCGGATGGAAAGCTTGAGTGAGTAGTCATTCATAACTCTCAAACATCACTTGTTGGCTTGGACTGCTTGCCCTCAGTCCCAACTTGATAGGCTTGGTTGTCCACAATTTTGCTTAAATCCGAGAAAAGACAATGCCAAGTCCTGCAAGCTTGTCCTTTAAATTAACGATGTCCCTCCAATTTGAGGGTTATTCCCGCTCATCAGCAATTGCCCGGCGAAGCTCAAGTCGCCGTCTCCCTTTGTCCATTCCTCAAGGGTCACATCTAGAAGTCAAAGTGCGGATTCAGAAGCTTAACTTATCGAACCTTACAATTGTCCTACACTTTCCTTACCCTCAATGTCCAACCCTGAGCTTCGCTGAATTCCCAGGTCGACTCCCGCAACTGGAAGTGCCTCCTTCAGCACCTCGCCTGCGCGGCCGTCGAGAACCCGCTCCAGTTTGGCGTCGACGACCACTACTTCGGGGCAAGCATGGCGGACGCTATAAAGGAACTCTCCAGCCAAGGAAGGCTGGGGAGGAACTCTAGAGCTCCCGGAGGGGCGGCCGGCGCGCTGCACTACATCGGGCTGGAGAAGTCGCCGTCAAAGGGCATGAGCCTGAGAGCGATCGATCCGGAGAAGTACGCAGTGGTCAATGAGGTGAGTGGTTGCGCGTTATGCGGGTAAGCAGGTGGTGATCCGCGTGACTAGTGTATTTGCTTGGTGGATTGATGTTGGCGGTGCGGAGATATACGCAGAGCTAAGAACCTACAACAGGTTAAGGGTGATCGTAAATGATTACAACTGACTAGCGCTTGTCGATCCTTCGCGGACTGCATTCCCCGTGTTATAAGCGTATTAGTCTCGTTCTGATGCTATTGGACAAGCGCGGTAAAGCAGGATACTCCTGTTTTGAACCGGTAATATTCCTGGACGAAAACGTCTTCTCTCACTTTCGCCGGCAGTCTCGAGGCATTTTCAGCCTCTTTGCTCTGCTTAGCTTACACTTATTTTATGCAGAATCAGACTCGAAACGGCTGAGCAATCTCTTGGACTCGGCACATCCAAAAGCTGAAGCGTACACCTGTTATCATGACATCCATGACTTAGGGGTCGAAGGCATCTGAGTAATCTTTGCAAACGAAAGGGGTTTGAAGTATATTAGCTGCTTCTCTGCTGCAGGCGACGAACGAGATCATCGAGGAAGTAGAGGCCAGCAAAGCGTTCTTTGAGGTGTACGAGGGCTCCATCTATATGCACCAAGGGAAGACTTACCGCATCGAAGACCTAGACCTAGAGACCAAGATTGCTCGCTGCAAGGAGACCACCGTGAGATATTACACGAAGGTAGGTCCTTGATCCCTGACAACTCGGTCTTGCATAGGGAGTGTGCTCTGATGAGACTCTCCGAAGAAAGGCTTGAGGAAGTGAATACTCTGAACACACTGCGTTGCATGATTCGGTTTCGTTTCGTGGCTGGTCTCTTCGTTGACAATCTGTCTTTTCTTGGCTTCGCTGAGCTCTGCAAATCTCTGAGAAATACATTTGGACCTAACCCTAAAAGCCTAGGAATAATGTAAGGAAAACACACGTCAGCGTTTCACTCTGAGCTTTACAAGGTATGCCACCCTTGGCTCTGCCAAACCGCGCTTTCCTGCTCTTTCGCAGACCCGCGACATGACGGAAGTCCACGTCATCGGTGGCAACCTGGCGTACCCGGGGAAAGCCCCCGACCCCGCCCGCTACCCGTTCACAACCGCGAAATGCGGGCGGGCCAACGTCAGCCTGACGTTTCTCGGGTTTGTCAAGATCTGGCGTGGGACGGGCGAGGTGTTCGATATGGTCGACCTGTTCCTGCCCCCTGTAAAGTACACAACACAGGTGCGGGACCAAACTTGTTCCAGCCTTTTTCCTCTGTCATTTGCGGAAGGTTTACTTCCTGTCCGGTGCCCCTGCATTTGACTACTATCGAACTCGGTCAAGCGCCTGTGTCCTTTCATGAAGCACTACGGCAGGCGGGGGATCATTTGCCTCCTTTGACGGCCCCCTGAAAGCATGCAGGGTCAATAAGATGTGCAGTTGCTCCGACCTCCGTCACGCAGGTGGGGTGTTTCGTTCCTGCCATTCAGCGCCCAGGTTCTCCCCAACAAATTCGAAGCAAACTTTTTCACTCTCCTGTGGCTGAAGAGATGCTGGAACTCTTCCGGTCCACAATAAGGTCACCTTGAGATGAGCCTAGGCTCATTTTCGCCGCCAACGAGAAATTGTTTGAAACGGAAATTGTTGATTTGCAGGCCGCCTGGGTGCGCGTCCCCCACGAGGTGCGCCTGGAAGTGGGCGAGGGGTTTAGGGAGGGTTTGCACGCGGCCGGCCACGCGATCCTCAACGTACTGCCGCTGTACGTCATGTGCAGGTGGGAACAGGACGGACTGATTGTGCAACTGAGCTTGGATTGCTTATTTAGCTGCAACGAAGCTGATTGTCTGCTTTTGACACTCTGAACAGGGGAATTGCCAAGTTTAACTTCATTTTGCCGAGCTTACCGGGCATGTTCGATTAGCGCGCAACCGTCCGTCGATTTTGTAAAGGTCTTGAGCTTTGACGTTGCTTTCCTTCTCATCATGGCAGCCGTAGATGCTGCCGGCTTTCTTAAAATTTGCGGTCGTTTCATACGCGTATCCAGTACCAGGTTGTTGGCTTTTTGGGAATTTGATCCTGGGGGTTGCCGACTTCTTTGACACTCTTTTCCCACAGCAAAGAGTGTTGAAAGTTTCCTCGGCAAGCTACCATATCCAGCCCACCACGTCGAAATTGTTCGGGTAATTCATGCAATCCAAGAACGCGCTTTGCTTGGGCTCATCTCCAGCAAATTGACCGAACCTCTTCAGGCCTTGGGTCTGTTGGAGATTAGCAAGCCCATGCAATCTCTTTGCGTGCAGCCCAAATGACATTGGCTGCGAGTGCGCCTCTCCCGACGACACCCGGTTCCGGCCGGAGCGCCTTCTGGTGTACGACAAGCAGCCGGACGGAATCGGAATTGCGGTGCAGGTGCAGTATTTCCCGATTACCTTTTCATTTCTTCGTCTGTCGATCAACCTTTTTCTTTCACAAAAGGTTGACTTTTTGTTTTGCAACGCAGACGAATTGTTCTAAGTTACCTACCCCTTATGATATTCCCTTGCTTCGAGCACGTATTGGCAGCGTCCTCTTACAAGCTAACCTGCAAGAGAAGGTCAATGTATCTGTGCGATCTTTAGCGCGCTCTAGTCCGTCTCTAAACGCAAGATCTTCGTCTGCGGCCCATCATTGCGGCGCACAAGGTCGAAGTTTCTTTTTTTCCCCTTCGTAGATTGCATCACGCAGTTTTTCATCCAGCGTACGTGTGGCTTCTTGTAGCCGTGTCTTCTCAACTTCGATCCTCCGGCCTTGCTATATCCACGGTAGCGTTTTCGCGATGTTGCAGCTATCCGATCTCAACATGATTGGCACAAACCTAATCTGTTCAATCTACTCGATTTTCTACCCAAGCGCGACCTATTTTTGCGGAGCTGTTGCAAGCCGCTCTCCTCGTAGCGTGCGTGCTTTACTCCTTCCGACCGTCTCTCCCTAACGAGAATCGAACCGGATGCAAAATTGGAATGCTTTCCAGCGCTAATGTTGTTAGTGCTTATTTCGTTTATGCACCGCCCATGTTTGCCGAGCTGTTACAAGCGGCTCTCGAGCTTCTCGAGGCGTGCGGATTTCACGGTTCTGGTTTCGCGTCCCCCCCTCAGCCTTCCTCTCTAGCGGAAACAACGTTTCAGACGTGGTAATGGGTTACAGGGTTCTCTTGAGTTGCAGGCTCGGCAGTGTTTGGGGAGCTGTTAGCAACATGCCCTCCAACCAGCGGATGCTTCCCCTCTTCGGTCTTATTTTCCAAAATTTTTACAAGGTTTTTTTCGTCCTTGCTCGACAAAGCGGCCCCCTAAAGTCAGCTCCTCTTGCACGCAGAAAAAGCTAATGATTTCCTGGTCGCTCTCCCCTCAGGCTCGGCCAATGTTTGCGGAGCTGTTGCAAGCCGCCCTCGAGCTTCTCGAGGCGCGCACGCTCCAAAATTATCAGCCCCTCTTCTTCCACAAACGAATCAACGTGCAGACGAAGCATACTTCACGTGCTAATTTTCTTTTGCTACATGTCTGCAGGCCCGGCTGATGTTTGCGGAACTTTTGCAAGCGGCCCTCGAGCTTCTCGAGGCGTGCATGCGTCAAGACTTCAGGCCCCCTCTCGTGCCGCAGAAGGGATAGAACGCAAAAGCAGCCTTCTGATATTTCAATTCTCACTTATTCAGGCCCGGCCGATGTTCGCGGAGCTGCTGCAAGCGGTGCTCGGGCTTCTCGAGGCGTGCGTGTTTCAAATCCTTCAGGCCCCCTTTCTGCCACAAACGATAGAAGTGAGTAATCAACAAATGCGCACAAAGCATGCTGAAGTGATAATCATATTGTGCTTCATCCTGTTCAGGCCCGGCCAATGTTCGCGGAGCTGTTGCAAGCCGCTCTAGAACTTCTCGAGGCGTGCGAGTGCACGCTCTCCGACGGCTGCCCCGGGTGCGTCCACCACACCGGCTGCGGCGAGTACAACCGCTGCCTCGACAAGCGCTACGCCATCGCCATCCTCAAGGTGACGTCATCCCTGGAAGCGTCCTGCTTTTTCTTTTACAAATCCTTACAACCAAGAATTACAATATCTGCGTACTTCGTAACCGCTGTCTCGACAAGCGCTACGCCATTGTCATTCCTCAAGGTGCCGTCAGCGTTACATATGTTGCCTTTCCCGTCCGCTTTTTATAGTTTATCATTTTCCCTTTGTCAGCTGTATCTTTTTGCGAACTCGCGTGATAGAAGCTGAACCCGATGGGCAACAACCGCTGCCCTACAAGAAAACGTAGCTGTTGTCCTCAGGGTGACGCCATCCTGATGGGGTTCTTCTGTGTCACATGTATCTGCTGAGAGAAACGGCTGCCTGTAGGAGGATATGCTTCCAGTTTTCTCAAGCTGAGGTTGTCCAAAAGTGTCGCGTCAAGCCTTTCTCGTAGCAGATTGCTTGCCGCCGTTGTGCGGCTCAGATTGTCGGTCTTTAGAAAAACCTTTCGAAATGGCTAGAACTCTCAGAAATGTGTTTTTGGCAAGACCGACTCGTGACTCGACGCTTCCATGTACGGTCGTACAACGCTCCCCCATCCTGCCTTTCAATGGTTCAAAGCTTATCGCGAGATGTCATCTCGTTCATTCACTGCCGCTTCGTTCAATCGTTATTAAAAGCTTTGATCTGGGCGCCTGTGATATCCGAGGTGATCACCAGAAAATAAGAACAAAAGCTTGGCAATCCTGATTTTCAGAAAACGAACAACAAACAGTGTCCGCGTCGTTTGCAGAGCGTCATTGCTGCCGAAGCCGTCCGCAAAGAGCAGGGGACATACGAAGCGGACACCGGAGAAGAGGCGGGCTTCTTCGAGGACGCGACACGTGGCGACCCTTCAGCCTCAACGGCAAATGAGGATCAGCCACGTGCCAAGGGGCCCGAAGTCGTTTACGGAAGAGATCAGACCTGGGATGAGACGCTCAAGTCCATTGAAGAGCTGTTCCCGTTAGAAGGAGGCTTGTAAAGTTAACATTACCCTGCTGTATATCTCTAGAAGCCTTTGAAGCTTAGAAACAAACCAAGTCTGGTTCATACCATGCTGTACTACCAAGTCAACGAGATCAAGAATCTGCTTCGGCAAACAAGTGTGTGCACACTTGATTTACGAGCGGAAGCGTTTCCAGGCGGCTGGTTTATGGCTGCCCAGAGACTCAGCATTAAGCATTGAGAACCAGCATTTGCTTATGGGGCCTTGCAGGCACTTGAGAGACATTGAGCTCTGGTTGTTGTGCTACTAGGCAAGTCACCTTGACACCTAAGGGAAGCACTTGGTACCTTCTATCACGATCGAAAACAACTCTTCCACCGCGATCAGATTGTAGATCGATGTGGGTCACTCATGTCAAGCGTTGGCCGAACGCGCTTTGAGGCGATGCATCTGGTTTGTGGTCGCGGACACATACTCTGTGGTGATCATGGAAGGTATCTGTTGTACAAGGGCTGAGTCCTCTGAAAAGCGACTAGCTCGGATTCAGCCGGGCGTACGTATATACGGACCACTCTTCAAACCTAGATCGAATTGTGTCCATCGTACATTTCAACAAACCCTTCAGCGGCTGCATGCCGCCCAAATGCAGAATTAGAACTGGCAATCAACCCCCTACAACAACTCAGCGTGTAGACGTACCCACATGTGCAAGCCTGCTCCTTGTAGCGCCGCCTTCGTCATAACCCTATAAAGCTAAATAGCCCGGTTACATCCTGAGTGGCTAAAACCCTAATTAATACCTGGAAGATACAGTGTACACATGGATGCATCAAAATGTAGCGACCGTTGCTCAGAAGCGCTGCTGGTTCTGTCGCCGCGATTGGCAGCGACAGTGAAGGTGATTGCCCTGCATCAAGGACGCCGCGATAGCCTCGTGGGTTCCTTCAAACTCGCACACACACACCAGCATAAGTTCAAGTTCAG